CGGTAATCGATCGTTGGTCATTATTTATATATCGTTGTTATACATCAGTGGTTCTCAACCTTTTTATGCTCACAGCGCATTTCTTAATACCATACAGTTATGAAAATAATAAGAAGCAAACAAAAAAAAGCATTTTTATTTTTATATTTATTTTTTACTAATAATATATTATATAGTTAAAAATTAATACCTAAAACACTATACGCATGTACCACGGTCGCGATAAACCTACAGCCACTTCACGGCATACTCGTGTACCGCAGAACACCAGTTGAAAACAGTTATACATACATCGAGCTATTACTTCGAAATTTGAGTATAACACTATTAACACTATAACGACGATGTGCCGTTTGTATGTTTACTTGGTGATTTATTATCATATGCCGCCGCCATGACAATTACTGACTGAACAGTAAACATCTAACACTTAAAACCTCATATTATGTCCACTGTTTGACTGAAAAAACGAGTTTAAATTAGTCACATTTCAAATATTCTCATATACAAGTAATGTACTGATGTAGAAAAATAAATAATCTTTGTCGTTAGACAATTTTCCTTAACTCAATTTGAGCGTACCAGATCCATCTGATTTTAATGGATGATCGATAATAATTCATTTTGACCTGTACAGATTGTAATGATTGTATATGTATATGATTAATTTGTGTTTGCAACTATAGTATTTCCCTATAAAGATAAGGTTTAATATTTAACTTATCCTTCTTTTTAATTCAACATCGATTGTCTTACATGGTAACTTAAAGATCATTAACTCGATTAATACGTATAAATGCTTATCCTTTAGGTTAAATGCCTTATCTAGAATCTTGAACTTAATTATTGCTAATATAACGTATAAATGAAAAACATTTACTTTTATAAATTTTCAGTTAATTTTTAAATAAATGTTATGATAACAGTCTACTGTTATGAACAATTCTAACCTAAACCTGTTTTTTGTATAAAATGCATTAATTTTTTTTTCGAAATTTCAAAAATTTCGAATTCTTCCGTCTACATATGTCTATATATGTTTTATATACTTGGTATTAGCAAACACGCACCAGCAGTTATAGCAGAATCATTATTTCGTATACGTGCCATTAGCAAAAACTGTCCGGTAATCGAACCTAATGCTAGTTCTGACCATAATAATAATTACTGTAGCTGCTGGATAATGATTATAGTTAGTTTGTGTGCGCAATGTGGTGTTTGGTGGCCGACAAAAGAGAGATACTCATTAAAGATCACAAGCGTCCATCAACGTTGATGAGCTCAAACATTGTTTGTTAGTTTTACTCAGCAAATAGATCACTTGTGGGTTTGTGTTAGAGTTGTGAAAGTTTTGAAGTTCAAAACGGACTAAGTAAACGATACGAAAATACCTGAAATGATAATATGACATGTCTAGTTCACATAACTGATGTGTCTGAGCATATATTAATATACTTCTATGTCCAATTGTGATCTTGAATTGAATAAAATATAATTAATATTTGTCAATGTGAAAAATCGGTTTTCTAGTCATTATCTTTTACAATTCTCAAAAATTAATTAATCAACGATAATTATTTTACGTGCCTACCTGCAACACGAATATTACACACTTCTGTTCAATCTCTATGTATGTATTGTCTATTTCCAGATCGACTGTTCGTGTTCAATATTTTTAATCACTATTTATACTACTGATATTCATTCCAAAACCATGCGTATTTTGCTTGCTAACCGCAAAAGCCGATTCTCGTAATAAAATTCGAAGAAATTTTATATTATAGAGAAATATTATATAACACATTTATCCAAGTATAAAAAAGTAACACGTATGCGTTACAACAACCGTCTGTTTTTAGAGATGGAAAAAAGTTACATGAATGATTTTAAAACAGTTATTGTTCAATCGTTTTATATAAAAAGTAATAAAAATAATACGACAGAGATAGATTTCAATCGTTGGATTTACTACTCTTGTGGTGTTATCTACATTAGGATCTCTCACCCGTCTTTATTTGTAATCGGTTTATAATACGTTTTGTGTCTTATGAACAGGAAGTCTATATTAATCGATTGCTATCAGATTCGGTACATAGATAGACTGCTGACTTCAGGTTTTATGGTACTACTTGCAACGAAAACGTACAGATACCACGAGCTTAAAAATATATTATCTACACTTTGGAAATTAATTGAATTCTATGAAAAAATACTCGTTCCGTAATATAGTTGTGCGCATCTGCCAGGCAGGTACGTCGTGTATATGTGTGTGTGTGTGTATCAAATGAACTTAGTTACCGAGGATATTGATTGGTGTCGTTGGGTGGGAGATGGGTAAAAGTAATTTTCACAAAACTCTACACGTAGGTAATCGTGTAATATTAGTACTCCAAAAAAATGTAAAAGAATATTAGGTAAAAAAGACGACATTGGCGATGAATCATTATTGCTTCTACTTTTTACACGTTGCTATATAAACGATTTTCCTTCTTAATCATGTACGCAGGCTCTCAAATAGCTATGCTGCAGCGGTGCGAGCGATTGGAAACAGCTAAGGTTAAATGTGCACGGAGACTCACGATAAAAACGCATTGCCACAATTTTCCGTTAGCCGTATAAAGAGCTAAGGGTGGTGGCTGCGGTGGCATACAACACACCGTAATAACGGCCATACCCGCTACCCCGATTTGACGTTCAGTGTAGGTTGCGACAAATTGCCGGGCGTTTAAAACTTTTTAATAACCCTTTTTATTTTTATTTTCGCTTTGTTTTTATAAAAACCCACAACGTACGCCCACCCCTGTATATATACATTGCGCCGGATCTGCCAGGACAAACAACAAATGGACCGCAATTATTGCGGACGGAAACGTTTCCGGACTAATGATCTTTTCATTCCTGTTCGTACAAACTACCACCGCTACGATGACGATGGTGATGGTTTTGATAGCGGTGGTGGCGATGACGACGAGATGACTATGAAGATGATGATGATAATGATGATGATGATGATGGTAGTGTGTGTGTGATGTGAGCGTGTAAACACGATATAAAGAAAACACATATACCGTTCACGTGTAGCAACCCTTTCCACCCCAAACCATCATCGATGGATGCTACTCATCCGAGGAATGTTATTGTTGTTAACCGACCCCGTCGTCATATGACTTTTCCCTTTTATCCAAACGCGCGTGCGCACTTATGAAACATATTATTAATGCATGAAGACAGAAAAAAAATTTGTTTTCCTTCAAAGGTTCTTCACAGAGCTGCATAGCCAGTGAGCTGTGTGTAATCGAGCACCGACTTCCGGTCGACGTAAGAGGATCCTTATAGTTTTTTTTTCTTTCTTAAGCTTGGTATAACGAAATAAGAAGAAAAACCTCCACCACCTTTGTATTTTTTCTCACTCCACCGTCGGTTGTTGTCGTTAATAATGGTTTTGGATTAAGCAATCCTCTTACCAACAATATTGACAACTATACGTAAAAAAAAAAAATGAATTAAATGTATTTGAAGTAATTGAATATAATTTATTCCGTCGAACGGGATGACAAAGTGACAAATAGGTTATAGCGTGTATACATTTACTTTTGTTTCTATTTATATGTGTGTAAAATGTGTTATCTCTTAATAAAAATCTATCGATTCTTTTTCACGCTTTTGTTTATTAAACATGTTTGTTGCGTTTAGCCGTTAAAAAATATGGCTCTAGATTTATCTATAACGATTTTCACAGTAATCCTTAACTAAACATACCTATATCTTGTAAACAAAATGCTTGCAAAAAATTGTAAATTTCTATTTAAAAAAAAAAAGTACTTATGTCTGCTTTTTTTATACCCATCGATATTATTCGTCTATATATCTATTTTTAAATCAAGGACGAGAGGGTATATATTTTATACTATAATGTTTTTTGTAATACCCTTTACCAGAACACTATTTTTGTTGTTATGCCTGCCAACGTCATAACACTAAATACATTTACTGATTAAGTCTTTTTTTTTCTTTAAAAGTCCATTTTTACCCTTATCTCGTGTAGACATTTTTTTTTTTTTTATAATGGTTTTATAATATGTTAAAGGCACTTTAACTATATACATACAATAAAATGTGTACATAGATATCTCACGCGAACATGTTCAACGAACTGTCTAATCTATAAATACGAGTATATTAATAGTTAATGTTTTAAAAAGTGTTAGCGTGTAACATAAATGTATATATATGAATAATATAAACGTTCAGTGATGAGGTGACGTTTTAAAAAAAAAAAAACTTTTACTTCTCTACGTATACCGTTAGCATATTTTATAAAAAAATATACTTTTGATCCCAACCGTTTATTTGCTTTACTATTTACGCGTATATCATTTGTTGTAAATCAACATTATTGCGGTGATGACGATTTCACTTAAATCATATAATTTTATTTTGTTTTAACGCATACAGCGTATAGGTACGTACATATATTTGTAATTTGCATATTTAATTCACCGTCGAATGAAGACGGGTATATTCACCGATGTTCACGAAAATCAACTAATTGCGTATCGTATGGCTGTGATTTTAATCATTCACAAATCAACCTAACCCATATAAATTCATGGAATCCATCGTAAACGAAACCTCATTGTCTATGTAGTATTATATCTTACTATTCTGTGTTCTGCTTTGTGATATTAATTATCAACAGCTCTTATTGGTGACAAGGTTCGCGGAATACTTCTGTCGAGGTACGCGAATGAAAATAATTGCGTATAGTCTGTCTGAACTGAATTTATTTCGTCGTAACTGTCACACTTTTTTTGTACCTAACCTAACCTTATCACACAGCATGCTGCTCCTCGAGTATCCTTTCTTAGTCGACACCGATACATAAAATCTAGAATACGAATACGTGTTCTGGCACGCATAATAGTGCTTATAAATATAACAAATAATAAATAAATTGTACTGTAATTATTTACTAATTATGTAAATTTTTCTTTTTCTAGCGGAGAACCATCACCACCACGGCGTTGGTTCAGGTTGCCGATACCCGTTATGGTTAACCGAACACCACACCTGGCACTCATTGAACCACGGTCACACTTACCACTTCTCGCCGAGAAACGGCACATTGCGGAAGAGCATCCCGGGGGCAGGATCCGACCACGACATCCGCGCCACGTGTTACAAGGTAATCAACGTTACCGATAACAAGGCGCTGATCATCACACACTACACTATTGGGTGGTAAGTACATCGTAGCTCTTAAAGAATGTTTTTTGTGTTTTATAGCACATTTACGTATACACATGCATTTTTATTTTTTTTTTTTTAATCATAACCAAAACCATACAACGTTAAAAGGGGTCGGAAAATCTCAACTACGAATTTCCCTCTCGAGTTAAATATAATGTTGTGTTATGACTGTTATGAGTGTTTGGAGTTGGTTTTATAACATATATAATATATATATATATATATATGTATATACTTTTTATTTTATTTTCAACGATTCAACCTCTAAACGAACATGTAGTATATATACACATATACAAGTATATGTGTGTATTTATATGTGAATAAGTATGTTTGTACACACATTCTTACGAAAAACACTCTCGAGTACATTCATCCGTGTCGGCGTGGTTCGTATAAGTAATCAACTCCGTCTTTATTTTTTTCCAATTCTTATTCTCCTGTACGGTCATAAAGTAAAAAGAAAGGTAAAAGGGTATTCAAAGCTTGGCAAATTAAAACCAACGTTTTTATTTCCTTCTTTTTTTATTATTATTTCTATCAAAGTCTACATCATAAGTAGAATTTCACTCGAGGGAGGATTATTAATGAATAGTGACTACGTGATAAAAAAAAAAAAAGCAAGTGAAATATTGTAGTGTTGTGAAGTTTAAATTTCACAAATGCGGGAATGTTCGTTATTTTCTAATGGTTGGCGTCAATATAATTAACGATCGAATATAAACGCAGATATATTATCTATATATACACGTCCTGCCCCGACTATGTGCCGCCAGGCTATATGTGGCTTATACACGTATCCACAGTAAAGGCATTATCATGCACATCAAATAATAAGACCGTATATAATGTTCTAGCTAGTGTTCGTTTACACGGTATACAAATCAAAATGATGACCGAACGTGTTTATGGTTTGCCTAGTTATTGAACTAGAACAATGTCCAAACTTAATAAACATTTATATCGGTTAAAAGTTAACATTGCAGATAATGTTGTACGTATTCCTTATTATTGTAACTAATCTCAAAACTGTAAAAAGCTACTCTTGTACCTATGTATTTTTTTAAAGCACAATACTTCAGAACACAGTAAATCATCGATATAAAAATAATAATATATATGATGGTATTTATTACTATTAAGTTACTCCAATATTATTTAACCGTCAACAATGTATGTCAATACCATTCTTTAAAATAATTCCTCCAACAAACACGTTAACTTAAATTGCTCTAAATACGTCAATGTTTCAAAAATGCCTAATATTTATGTTGTTGTTTTATATTTAATGTTTAGTTCCTTATAAATTTCAATAACTAATTTTAACAATTTATTAAATAATTTTTGATTGTCATTTATTTTAGTATAGTTGATTTAATTATATATTTTATTTTTCAGTCAAAGCGGATATGCATGTATGGGGTTTTATCGTCGTGACAGCCAAGTTGTTGAGGTCCAAGAAAGTGGTACGTATATGCAACTTAAGTGTCACACATAACTAGCAGCCAAACATAAATGTATGCTGAAAACTTCACCAAAAGTTTCCAAAACAAGCGTACACCTTAGTAGTTTTAATGGAAACCGACAGGTGTCAGACCAATATTATGATAAAATAGGCTGACAAACTCACGAACGAAATTAAAATGTTTTACGTCAAATTTGGACTGTGAAATTGTCACAACAAAATCGTAATGCTAACTTACGTTACGAAAGTTTGTTATCCATCGAAATGAATAGTGTGCATTTCGCAAACTTTTCATATAGGCGTTGATATTGTAAGACATAGAAACTTATTTTTCCCATTCTCCTGAGAGAAACGACTACGATGAAAATTAAGAGTTGTTTGAAGCTATCTAATTCATGAACCTACGAATTTAAAGTATTGAAAAATACGCATAACCGTATTAAAATAAATGTATTTGATTATCTAGTTTTCTTGTGAGATTCCCAAATAACCAATACGCGTAGTTCGAATAATACAATACATGACATAAATAAGTATATAACTGCAAATATGTATTTAATTAAAATTATTCTACATTTTATTAATATTAAAAGTTTTCATTTGTGAAGATTAATAAGGGTATAAATCGTTTAATAATCGAATTTCTTTACATGAAACAAATTAAATTCCGTGAACTGCAGGCTGTAGACTTACAGGTATTCGTATTATCTTTGTTTTTCTTTGACATTTATCATAACTAAAAATAATATTATAGTTAGGTATTTGCGTAAACAAAAAATAAAACAAATTTACAAGTTCTGTGAATTTGAAACTATTCTAAAACTAAAAATAAGCTTATAATGTTATTTTTTAATGTCAACATTTTTATCGGTAAAATAATATTAAGGTTTTTTTTTATTTTTAATATGTCACAGAAAAATGAAAATATCTCTTTCGTAAGCGAAGAAGGGTGAACATATTTAATATAAAATCCTAAAATGTCTATGGTAACGTGTCGGATTTGCTGAGATAGGACCAAAATGAAAAATATTGTGCCACTGCCAAGTAACCGCCTCCGAGGAGGAAATACCGAGACGGCTCATATATATTCATATGCGCAAAGTGCGAAGTGTCTGACATAACGTTTTCTAAGCGATTTCACTGGGTGGACATAAATATATTTCGATATGGTGTACTACGCGAAGGGCTGAAACGTGCATGTTTTCAAATTTGTATCCCTCACATTTGGGCGTTAACGACTACACACACTTGGCCGTTAGTTGAACCATGACGACGGGGTGATTGTTCCCCTATATAGTCATATTATATTTTCAGCAATATATTATATTATTATATTATTGCTATTATATTTTATTTTTACCAACTGACCGTTCGACTCGACCGTTTTCCACTCAGCCTCAACCAATACTGATAACGTACCGGAAATTCGTCAGCGGAATATATCTCATCTCGTGCACTTGCACACTACCAACCACCCCCTTCCATATCCCAAAACATAAAGATGGTGTAGTCGTTACGTGTTTGAACTACGTCTACTCAATCGCAGCTTTATGATATTACCGTGTATTTCGAACACCTTTTCATAACAAACTTCCTCTGTTTAGAGGAACATTTCCGCTAGACCGCAGTTTACCGTAATGGTCTTATTATCTGGGTAGGCCATTCGTCTTACGCTATCCGGAATGAGTATAGTCTATCGTAATTTCCTTTACGCTTATTTCTTGTCGTGTTATTCGCATCTAAATTTTAGATATATAAAACGTATATTGTATAATACTTAAGCATCAGCATAATATTGCAAGCGGTTATTATTGATGCAACGTATTAGGCGTTAAATTTGTACTTCTTTCGTTTACTTTAAAATGTCGTGCGATTAACTCAATTCAACAAATAATTTTAATTCATTGCTGGCTACTTGGGTGGCTCAAACTAACAAATAAAACGACTAAAAATTAGATACAATAACATTAATCGTATTTGCTACTGAAATTTACCGTACCGTATCATTAATGCGACTAAACGTTATAATTCTGTAATCACACGGACTGTTCCTCCGAGACAAACCGAACCACCTTCAAACGTATAAATATGTATGGCTTGATATATTATGTCAAAAACGATTTTATTAAACACCATTCTGTTTCGGCATCAAATGGAAACTTGATCTTATGGCTTGTATTGCGTTTGTAATTTGTATACACATGACATTATAATATGATCAAATTTACGATTATACTATTCTTTTTGCCATATGTGAACAATAACCTGATTTCAACGATAACAGCGAAATATTTAATATTTACAAATAATATTCACGAAACAGAAAGCCGAAATGCAATCACATCAGTTATATTCATATTTCACATAATATCCCATTTAATTACAATAGACCCCCAACCCCGTGGGAAAATATTATACAAACAATACGTCTGAATTAATCATAATATTTTTCTTTAAATATTTCATTTTAAATTAATAACTAAATAATAATAATACAATAATAACAGTTATGCTCTTTTTATTAATTTATTTTTCAGTAATTTAAAATTAAAGAAAAATACATTGAATAGAAATATTTCATATTTGATTACGCATTTTTTTTTTTTTTGTAAGTGTGTAAAACTTGCTATTTATTATTTACTACAAAAAAAATTTAACTTTTATTAATTAAACCTTTTTCAAATTATGCACCTGTAAGCTCACAGCATTTTAAATGTTATTTTCTCATAAAGAATACATACCATTTAAATGTGTACTTACTTAAAAAAAAAAAATTAGCAATTGGCCACGTTCTCGTTGTTTTTATTAATTTCATTTTAAAAACGTAATTTAAAGTTTTATCATTGTGTATGATGTTCTCTTGATATCACTTATCTTTTAGAAAGAAATATATAAACAAAATTTCTTGTACATTTCGTATTCTCTAAATTTATACTCACTGATAAAACGATGTTTTTTAATAGCGCGATGCTGCAGTTGAAAATAATAAATAAACAAATGTTTCATTTTATTTACATTTTTTACGCGTTATTCTAAATCATTTCTAAGATAACAGAGAAAAGTGATGAATAATGGCAATAATATTATTTGCATATCAATGAACATAATATACCAACATCTTCGTTATTGGTCCTTTATTATTGTCAACTTACACTAGTAATAGGTACTATCACTGAAATGTTTAAAGGTTAAATAAAAAGTTATATTCGTGTGTAAAATATAAAAGTGGGAGTGGTTATCCGGTATTTATGCATTGCCATTTAAGGACAAATCGTTAAAAAATATATATTATAATTTATAATGCATAAAATTATAATACACATTCTCGCATAATACTAAATATTAAACATACATCGTTTAATAACACAATAACGTAAAACATACATTTTATTTATGTTAAGCATTTATAATTTAAACGTAGGTTAAAAAATAAAAACCAAAAGGTTTTTAGATACAAAAGTTATAAAACGCTTTCAAATTTAATGAAAAACATTACGAATAATAATTATTATAATTCTGTTCGAGATCGTTTTCGATTAAAACGAAATAACCGTCCAAATGTATACTTCAGGACTAAAAACGTGACCATTGGGTTTCGTAGGCAATCAAATGGTTTGACAGTTCTATTTGGCTCTTTAAAAATTTACAGTGATCGACATTTATTTATAATCCTTATCAGAAAAGTAGGTACAATGCAAACGAATTCCTGTTATTTAAGAACATTCAGAATTTAATCGGTCAGTAAAAGTTTGATGACAAGAATAAAATGAAAAAATCATTATTTCACTCTGCAATGCTAATCCGTATTTCAAAGTGTTTATAATGTTGACGTCCATTTCATTTCGTTTCATTTTATTTTTTCACAACGTTTGTTAAAATACGATGTAAATTTGTTTTATTTATTCATTTGTTTGTTTTTTTCATTTTGTTTAATTTGTTTTATTTTCTTTATTTTTTGTACAGAAAACCCGATGGAGAACGCAGATGACGCTTGTCGGCCAGACAACTTCCACTCGCAGCAGTTGACGTACAGCACGTTAGTGCGTAAGTACCAGTGTCTTTTTCTTTTCCATTTTATTTTTTTGCCACTCCCTACCCCCCTCCAAAATCATCGTGTCGCCTCTGGGTCGTCCGCGGCGTTGTGGCCGTCGTCTCTATCATCTGGCAAGGCCGCCCGAACGTCACGTCGTCACATCTCGTTACCGCCAACACTCTAAGAAGTCTGGACTCTAATAGCCCGCGAGACCCAGTGACGCGATGGAAAATTGTCGTCTTACGATGAACCAATGACGGCGGCGGCGTCTCGTCGCCGTCCGTAAATTGGTACTATATATATTAGTCTTATATAAGACGCATATACTCACCCCTCATCCCCCACCATACGTGCACCGCCTTTTCCGGCCATTCGCGGTTTCCGCCGGCAAGATCATTTATTTTATTTATACTAGGCATTTATACCGCGCACATGTATAATATGATATTATATAACACATAAGTGTGTGTGTGTGTGTGTGTGTGTGTGTGTGTGTGTGTGTGTGTGTGTGTGGAAATAAGGAGAATGGAAAAAAATTCGACCGAGAGAAGACGAGAAATCCCCGAACCATTAATCTTCATATTTACGTAAAAGTTTATACCGCGAGATTCCATTGCGTTCAATCACTTTATGATTGAAAAAGTTTCATGTTTTTATTTTTCAACGGCTAATTTTTCACTTTTTCCTCTTTTTTTTTTTTATTATAACTATTATTACTTTCGGAGACGAAATTGCCCCCCGAAAAATACCGCCTACGCCGCCCTTTTTGTCAGTCTCTTCTGCACCCTCGCACCGTTGGTATCCAACGTTTTTTTCAATAAATTTAAAATTTTCCCTAAAACATTTATTATTATACAACTATATTATTACACATAACAGTAGGGCGTTTTCCATTCTGTCCTTAAATTTATGAACATATATAATCACTTTTTCCCTTTGTATATTTATTATCAACTATCGCGTTCTGTTTGTGCATCATGAAAATATATTATGATTCTAAAGTAATTGAATCATCAATAAATTTTACTGTACAAATCCGAGGTTATATTTTTAGATCTTTTTATGGTTTTACGTGGTTTACCAGATACGTATATTTCTGTATTCTACTGTATTTATTCCAAGATAATTGAAAAAAAAAATGTCAAAACTGTACAGTAGATTATAGATATATGCGTTATACGTACTATTACTAACAATGATTTATAGTTAAAGTTTATGAACAAAAACATATAATTATTATTAGTATTTTTTTTTTTTTTTAATTATAACAAACATCACAGATATTTATAATATCTATAGTACTCAGTTTACACAAATATTCAGTATGGATACAGGATACCTGATTTATATTTTATATTTCCTTACTTTATGTCATAAGGAACGGCGTTAAATTACCAAATAGCATTGTGGTTGAAACATGATCGTTAGCACTATGATAATATATAACACGGAAGTGACGATACTGAACGCCGCCGTGGTTGTGGGAAAATGAGTGATATGTTTACGAGGTAATCTTAAACACTGAAATGGCTTAAAATATAATAACGTATGGGAAATAATTTCAATTTTACCCCAAATCCCCTTCGACAAAAATGTTACGAATAAAATTGTTCGCCGACTCTGAAAATGACATACGCCCAAAGTTTTTGCAGCAACAAATTCATCCTGCGTGGCCTATAAAACAATTTAACAAAAGGTATAATGGAAAACACATTAAGTACCACTTTCGGGAGCTACCATTTGTACATATATATATAATATTATGTGTATTATATAATTATTTAGTGTACAGCACAATGTGTTTATATCGTTTTCTAATTTAACGTTGACCACTATTCCAAAACACACTGTAGCCGGGCTCCTCCGAAATAGAAAGACTACGCACAAATACAATTGTATTTTAATTAAAATTGGAGTTAATTTTCACGGAACATGTATATGAATATATACATTACTATATCCTCGTAAAATGCAATTTTCTTACTGTTCCATAGGTCGTGCCATAGATTTTTGTTTCATATACGACCGGTTTTAATTTTGTAATACTACACAATATATAGTAATCCCGCTCCAATTTTCGATGCTGCGTGATTATTTTAACAATGTTCTCGGAACAATAGAACGCACGTGTTACATAATTCCGCTCAAAACCGCAGCAGGGATTCGTAATATTAAATATTTCGGTGGAAAATATTGCATCAAAAATAATTTTGATGTTTCGTCTTATTATGGGCGTGTTAAATGACATAATTAATCATTATTATTATTATTATTTTTTTGTTACTTTGTGTATTATTAAAACGTTATATTAAACAAAAGATTCAAACAAATTGACTTCAATTTATTTTTTAATAAAACTGCTTCGTATTGTTGTTATTTTTTACGTCTGACAAGTAACTGACGATAGCTTTAAAATATAGTGAATCATGAAAGCTGCTGCCAATGAATCAAATATAAACCTGCATGGGGTGAATACCAACATTTGTTGGTACTTTATGTAAAAAAAATAAATAATAATAACTATCTATATCAATAATCTCATAATTACATATTTTCGAAAAAAACAAATGATCCTTGTTTATAAAATGAATTTATTCCCGTGTTGTTCTTTGGCCGTATATGTAATTATCTAGATAAAACGTTTAATTTTACCTCAAATAAATTGATCATCGTGTAAAAAAAAATCTTCCATATTAATATCCTTTTATTATTTTTTACATTTTATTTTTAATTGGTTTTATGAAACGAAAATTGTTGTAAAACAACGAACTACGAGTTTACAATTTATAAACTATAGCAAAACAAAAATAAATAAATAAAAAAATATACTCCACTTAATAACTTGGAATATAAAATCGTTAAAACGGACGTTCAAAACTTCTTTAGTGTCATCGGAAGTCGCGATGGCCCTGGGTAAAACGAATTTAGAATTTTTCACCGAGAAAACGATGACTGTCGTGCCGCCCCGGACGTATATAATAAGTGTCTGATATGGTAATACGGCCGTATAAAGAATATTATATATACAATGTACGGATAAATGACGGTTTCTGTCTCTTCCTCCTCCCCCCTATTACTCGTATTCTTCGTCGCCCCGAACTTCTAGTCCATTTGTTGTTTTTATAATACTCAGTATACAATCAAGAAAACAGCGATTTAAAACCGACGTTGTGTTGCTAGACGACCAAGATGACGGTTCCTCCCCAATCGGCGGTGACTTATATATTATATATACATATTATACATCAACATAATATAAATAATTTATAAGGGTTCGGAATGTGTGTGTGTGTGTGTGTGTGTGTGTACAGTATATCGTCAAAACGGCACAGTCAATAAAAACAGTAGACTCATTAAAACTTTTCAATAATAATATTATTATTATTATCTATCTCCACTTGGTGTGTCGGCCACAAACAGCCCAATGGATTATATTATGGTCGTCTTGTGCAATAACACACGCAGTCTGTTCCAAAGTTTTCGTCATTCCGGAACATTACGCTCGGCCGCAAATCTCTCCTCTCCTTCCATCCTTATATATATTATATAATACACTTATATCGTGGTTATTGTCTGCTTACACACTTACGTGCGTGACAAAGTGAAGAGAGAAGAACACCACCACACGTGATCTACGAAGGCATATTTAAATTATTATTATGGTCGTCGCGTTCTGTTACCGTAATAATCTACTGACATGCACGCCAGTAATTACGTCGTACACGATATCACTATATTTATCGCGAATTTAATATTATAGACTATCAGTAATACACAGTTTTCTTTGCAGCTCCTTCGCCCCAAGGTCGCGAGTGCCCGTTCCTTGGTCGTTACGAGATCAGCGGCGGACTGAACGCCGAAGACGTGGGCAAAGCGCTGGCCGCCAGCCGGCCCGGAAGCGAAAACAACCAAGACAAACCATCGATCCCGTGTAACCCACCCGGCAAGCAATACCTGACCATCGGATGCAATTCGCTAGACACCATGGAATTCCAGTCCGAGTGCGGTACCAAAACCGTAGCCGGTAAGCGAACAACCAGAAGTCGAACCGTATATTTTGCGACGATATTGCAATGAATCAATGCTACTATTATGTGTTTAAATTGAGTCCGTAAAGATAAAATGTCATAACTACCTATATAGTCAGTGACGAATTTTTAATATTTTGTTATATTTCCAAAAATAATAAGATAAGTATATAATTGAAATTTCCATATTATTATTTTCAATATCTACATTATGATAAAATTTTCAAATATTTCAACTCTTTTTAAAATATATACAGGTATGCCAAATTTTCAATTTTTTTTTTGTATTTTTCTATAATTGTTTATAAAAAATATTTTCTAGGTAAAAAGTACCTTTATTTATTATTATTTTTAATATTTTTTAACTTATTGAATCTTTATATTTATTATTATTTATTACAATTAAAAGAAGGAAGTCAACTCGAATAACATAAGAATATCGGTCGGACTCAACTCCGATGACCCAAAAAGAGTATTTGCGGAACTCGATTCAATGTTATCCATATTTTGCCCAAGTAATCGACCGTGCTTATCGCATTCGATCTTTGGACCCACTCCGGTCTCACTTTTTCACTACTCCATCACAGTCCACAACAAATTAACAAATTTGCCTACCGTGCGTGCACATTATAATAACACTTATATAGGGCGAAATTCTTGTGTTCAGTTATGTAGAAGTAGTATAGACCGAGATGTCATAATATATCTATTGATTTCAGTAGGTAATCCTGCATTTATATTATTTATTATTATTCACGTTGGACTCGTGTGTCCTGGCTTATTTAGGATTTTGAAAACGAAATAGGGATGGGATTATTATATTATTGTAACCTGAATATATGTATAACCTTACCCCCGATCCACCTTAAAACTACGTAACCACTCGTACGATGAATACGCACGTACCTCTTATATACTCATATTAAACATACATACATATGTGCGTATGTACTTTATACTTACACTTACACGAATCCGATTGTTGCCGTGTTTCGTGTCGCGTGCATAAAATATACGAATATATAATATATATTTGTACGTATACATTTTTTAACGCACTAAACTGCTGCACGTCTTGGTTTTTTTATTTCACAGCGTACACGTGTTACGGACACTGGAAGAACGAAATTACCGGCATCAACTACGTGATATCCACGCCACAGGGACGATCGGCTACGAATTCTAGAAGATACTGTTTTATCATGTCGCAAGTGAACGGAATGGCTCAGCAAACGTTACACATCGCCTCTGTGATGGAATCGTGCCATCCGCACCCATTGGGTCGGCTTCACTGGGCGTTTAATATAACGCACCAAGGTATGATGATTTCGTGATCTCCCGTGTTTTTTCGTTTCGAGAAATTCTGATTTTATTTTAATGAAACACAAATTCAATGTCATTATATCGGGTGGTGAAGGGGGCAATAATTTGAAGACGTTAGTGATTTTATTTTTTTTTTTGTAACTTCATTAAAAATCAACGATTTCTAAAGTTAAAATATTATATTCTAAAATCATCAAATCATATTATACGTATTTAAGTTGTAACTACAAAGACTTAATATTGATATTAATTGTACTGCATGTGATTATTATTGCTTATATTTTTTTTTTTTGTTTGGTACTGTGTATAACAATTTTCGAAGTGAAAATACGTAGACTACATTGCGTCCATACAATTTTGATTATATATAATATCAACTATGTCGATTTATAATTTAATATTGTGGTACATGATTTATCCACTAACGTCGCGTTCCGGAGACGAACGTCATTCGGACTTCAAAACCCCCAAAACAAAATTTTGATTACATAAAATTATTATAATATTTTGGGAACTAATGGATGTTAATGGCAAAACTAAAAACGATCTAGAACGGTAATAACAAAAATATTGTTGAAGTGTTGAAGTGGACGTTGTGTGAATGAATTATTATTATACCTTTATACGTCGGAAACGTATAGTAACGGTTGGTCAAGAGTACGTGTGCGTGTATTTAAGGGGGGGAGGAGATTTGTATACGAGAGTAAACAAAAAAAAAATCGGTCCGGAGATTTGAAAGCAAAACAATCGACGACCAGAAACGTCGAGTGGTGGTGGTGACGTTTGTCGGATTTAAGTGGACACGTTATTTGTTATGTGTGCGTTCTAGTCCGTTTAAATAGCATATATTTCCGGCCGACCGGAATCGGTTTTAATTAATATTATTTGTGACATTTTACGATTATACACAATAGGTGCTTACAGAACAATAATTTTTTTTTATGTTTAGGTCTGTGCAGTTCCGAGTCAAACAGCGCTATCATAACCGGCATACCAGTCCTAGTCCTAATTGCAGCTCTGCTGGCCACCATAGTCAATTGCCGGTGATCATCGTCGTCGTCAGCAGTCGCGTCGGCCGGCCGGCCGCTAGACATTTAGAGGAGGCTCGAGCCAATATTAAAAAAAAACCAAGACCACTTTGCTAAAAAAAATTTAAAAAATATATTAATAATCGGGCGGTCCCCCGTGTATACATATTATTATTATTATTATTATTATTATCATATAGGTGTTAGGGATCGCTTTTATTTATTTAATTGTTTACATTTTTTTTTTTTTATTATTAAACCGACTATATTGTGATTGTATTTTTAAACTATTATTATTGATATTATTATTTTGATGTTACCCCTTAAGCCAATCTTCTATTTATCTCTCTTTCTCTGTGTTTTTTTTTATATTATTATTTCATTATCTATCTTTATTATGTTATGTTATTATTATTATTATTATTATTATTATTATACTTGTAAATTTGTTTTTTAATCGATGGTGCAGAGTCGTTTGCGTTAGTTTCGATATGTTTATATATTAATACCGTAAGCAAATCCGCGTATGTTTGCTAGGAATAATTATAATATTATTATAATATACACCATGATGGTTATATTAAAAATTATTTTTATTTTTCAAAAATTGTAAATATTGAAAATTGTAAAAAAATTTATTATTATTATTATTATTATTATTATCGAATTTTAATACGAGAACAAATTCCGTGTCCGTGTAATTCGACTCACATATTATACCACACACGCCTGCTTACCAATTTATCTTTTTTATTATACTATATTAAGATTTTAATTTTAGCGCTAAATGTGTACAAAATTAATTCTATGTATTCGTGCAGGTCCTATATGTTCTTTTTTTTCTTTAGACTTAATTATTCTTACCATTTTAACGAAATATTATTGTATACGTACAATACAAAAAGAAGATGCTTTATATATATATATATAACTTTATATGTATATATATTGTACATGTTCCATGTGATAAAATGTGGTAGGGACATATCATGATTGTCCTGATTCACTTTTCTTCGTCACCCGCAGCTGATAATTTTTATTTTTATTCTACCGAGCGAGTCGCACGCTGCGAGCTTTGATCGTCTAGAACAAAATTGGACCGATACAGTGATTAACTTATATTATCATTTGTTTACATTTTATTATTATTATTTGTATTTGGGAACATTCGACTCGCTCCGTATGATAATTATTTTTAAATGTTCGTTATTATTGCCTATATTTAAAGAAAAAATGTTATATATAAATAATAATAAAATAAAAAAAAAAAAATAATAAAAGTACACGACTATCTTAATGTGTATAGCTTTATTTTTTATTAAATAAATTATTGTTCATTTTATTAATTTTAAATATTATAATGTTAGTAAATATATTATTATTTTTTTTTTTTTTTTTTTGTTCGGTAATTTAAATTGATGTATAAAAAAAAAACTCTAAAGGGCCAAATAAAAATGGTGTCATATTATGTGAAAATTATTATTATGATACCTATAATAATATTTACCTCTACGTCCTATAATGGTAATCATTATAACATTTTCACGTTTATCTATCTCTATTCTATATATATATATATACAATAACCTAACTGTTTGTCGATTTGCATTACTTACTGCTTGGGTTTTTTTGATTTTTTTCACCCGCAGATATGATAATATACTAAATGTCTAATCATTTCATTCCGACCATAGGGTAGCTATATAATAAATAAATAGTGATGTCGTCCCGGGGGATGGTATTCGTTGGTCCAATTTTCCTGCCCGACTGCGTACTATAATGTTATGCCACTGGCGTTTTTCGAATCCCCTGCGGGCGGTGCCGCCGCATGACTGAAAAAAAAGGATGACCGTGTTTTTAGGATTTACACGAATTTTTAAACTAAAAGTTTTTTCGACAATCGTATTATGTTGTCGTGTGGACTGAACTGCGGAAAAGAACGTGACAATTCAATTTAATCGTGACCAATTCAATATATTATTTACTATACATACATAATATACATACGTACATACCTACGCGAGCTGTGTTTTTTTTTTTTGCTATTTTAAATTGTTCAATAAAATATGTAAATAATACTATGTATAATATTGTGTCTGACAAAACCGAGTATGTCCAGTACACATTTATTTGGATTTATACGCTTTTAAAATAATAAAAAATAATAATAATTATGAGTCAATGATAGGAATTATCACACATACTGCATAAGTTACCGGCATTGAACCAATATAAGTACTTATACATAATATAAGGCGTGTAGTTTCAAAATCGGCTAAAAGAACATTTTTTTTCTTGTATTCCCTAAAATATCATAGGTATATAGATACTATATTAAAAAAAAATTGTAAGAATATTGAGTATACGAGGCTAAAATTATGATAGAAAATTGTGATTGTTTTCAAAATCGCACATTTAACGATGTTTATTTCAAAACAAACTACAATCAAACACAAGTTTTTTTACGGTAAAATAATGAAATATAGAATCAAATAAAGTTTTAAAATCTGTCTAATATAAATATAACATAAATTATTTTATTGGTATAATTAAAATTGTTTAGTTCTTGCTTCTAAGACAGCCATATTACAAAATGTCAACAAAACCATAAATCTATATCTACTACTTTTCTTTTAATAATCTTTCTATATAGCAAATATGCATAAGCAATGTTTAAAGCAGGTTTCTTCAACCTTTTGAGACAGCGGGCCATATATAGTTTGTTTTAAATCTCGTGACCACATTCGTAGTAATAAAGTAAAAACACGTATTTTATACACAAATTCATTTTTATTACTGTAATTATTATGATTACATTTTATATTATAAACTATTATTGTTATTAAAACACATATAGATTAACATATTTTAATTATGAATTATAAATTATTTGTTTTGTTTTTAGTGCGATAACTGTTATTGTTTTTCACAAACTATTTTTCTGTTTGGTTGTATCTGAGACGGATGCGGCCTTCGGCGAGTTTTTTAAGTAAATGTCAATTAACCATGCTCTAGTTTACGATTTTCCAATTAAAATTTATAAAATATATACTCACAACTTCAAAAGTGTAAGTACTGCCAAAAAGAGACATCATCTTAAAGCGTTATTTTGAAGATTATAATGTCTCCATGTCAATAAAGGTATTTTGAATAAAAAATTTTAATTTCAACGTTATTTTACTTTTCTTTTTATATTGTATCATTATAACGAACTAACAGGCAACAATCAACAATTATACAGTTTTTTTTTTTTTTTTTTTATCGTATGGCGCTTATGTCCGAGAGTAGGCCCGAAGGCCTATAGTTCGGACGCCTATTTGGCAGAATTTTTAGTGGGCACCCGTAGGTTTCTGCCATGCACGGGTGGGGGGCGGCGGCTTCTCTCTCCAGACACAATTATACAGTTTATCTTATCGCATATCTCTCAATTGTATCAAATCTGTTCACAGGCCACAAATAATGATAAGGCGGACCACGGGTTGAAAACCCCTGCTTTAAAGCTTTGATATGTATAATGAAATCATAAAGTATAATCTTATCTCCATTTTCGTTTTTGTTGTCTTTGAACAGTAAATTAATTTTACCTGATTTTAAAACTACACATCCAAAATTATAATCGATCGGTTTTGATTCTTCTTTAAATTTGTATTTAGGTATATATATTATTCACAATCGATTAATAATAAAAAATGCAAAAAAAAAAAATTATAATCCCAGCTCAAATAAAACTGTTCATTTTTTTTTTTATATATCTGAAAATGAATAAAACAAAAAAAAATTGTCAAAAAAAATATAAAACAATCCTAAATTAATATTTTAAAAATTTATAATATTATCTTACGAAACCAGCCGCAGTTATAGATCGTTATAAGCTCGCGCCCATACAGATAGGCCATAGTATTATAGATTAGCAGAATTTTGATTTAATTCAAAATAATATTTAGTTCAAAAATACTAGTCCTAATATATCATATTATTCAAATATATTTTTTCCTATAAGTAGAAGTCAGAATACGGTATAGTCCAAAAGTCTAATCCATTTTTCTTCAAAATAACTTATTTGAAAAATGTATTGATAAAATTTTATTTTTCATGAATTTCAACAATAGGATTTTATTAGTAAGAGGTATTTTATTTTAAAATGATTAATAATTGTTTTTTTAAAAATTAAATTTTTAACTTAAAAAACACTCGACTTACCTAAAAATTATTAAATATAAAAAAAAAAAAACAAATTATTTATTACTTATAAATAGAGCTCATGCAATTATATAAATTGCATATTGTTCTGTATACTCTCAATTTACTTATACTTGACCAAATTAGAAATCTGAACTGTACAATGAAGAGTTCAAGAATTAAAAATGCATATTTCATATTTTTTCTAAAAAAAAAATTTCTTTTTTTCTTTTTTAACCTGTATATTTTAATTAATATAGAATATAAAACAAAATGTTCAACGAAAGTATATTTTATTACCATCGTCACAGTTACCAATTAAATAAATAACAGCGAGCCTTAATCTAACCATGATGGTTCAATGCAATAACTTAACGGGTATTAGAAAACATGTACTTTTTTTCGTAATTTCAAAAATATTTTTAATTTTATTTTTAATTCAATAAGATGTAAATATACATTTTTTCAGTTATTAACAGTTTTTATGAATATTATTAATTTATTAATAACATCTGATGTATTTTAATTTTTTGGAATTCAGAATAATTTTTTTGCATATTAACATCATTTTAATGCATATTTTGTCATTTTTTCGTGCATATTTTGCCTTTTTTAGCTCCTACAACTTCCGAGCGCTACTTATAAACATAATCCTCAATACTTTACGTAGGTCTGTTCGTGACTGAAGATACTCACTACCTCCGAGTTATTCCAACATTTAGTAATTATATAAAACTATAATATTGAATGTAATGAATATTGGAAAATTAAAAATATAATGAATAAAAACCGCAGAACTCGACATTGTATTGTGTAATATATTTGTATTTCGAGTGTGTCTTGTCGTCAAATCGTCTGCTGTTATAGATAAGTATGTTAAGTTTGAATTCGAATTATAACACAATATTGAGTTAGACAAATATTGGATAACTTAAAATTCAAAAAGTAAATAAAACTAATTCATTTTATTGTACTATAAC